TAAAAAAAAAAAAAAGACAAGGATGGGGAGAGATTTCCCATTTTCCAGGACTTTAAATGCCAAGCTAAAAGCTTCATGTCCAAGAAGAAATCTGGGACACAAACACTGCTTCTATACACCATTTGCAGCTCGATGAGAATGCCACGTTGGAAATGACTCGGAGCCCAACAGACCATGGTAGCTGAAGTATACTGTACTGCATCTATGGAATGTGTGTAAACAGCATCCTAAAAATCCAAAATCATTACAGCGGAAGCAGCTTCAGTCCCCACACACCAGGTGTGACCAGACACCATAGAAGAAAGGAAGAAGAGCAGCTCAGTTAAAACATTATTCTGAAAAGTACCCAGGATATGACCATGAACAAGCCACTCAGGGGGAAAAAAGCTGGTGGGTAACATATTTGAAAGTGCCTAAGTGACTTAGGATTCAATGTCCCAATTTCAAAGATATCCAAGTCATGTAAGTCTCCTGTGCCATTTAGGTGCTTTTGAAAAATTTTACCGCTTTCCTAGAAAATAATGCGTGGGAATATTTTCCTTTAAGGTTATTCATGTGGCCCCCCTCTCCGCTATGATGCGACCCACCAAACCCTTCAACACACCATGCTTTTCCACTCTGCTCTTTCCAGCCATGTTCACCACATCTCAAAGGAAGCCCCCTTGTGCTCTGCTCTCCCCCACCCCACTGCCTTGACCATATCACACTACCCTTTCCATTTTAATCTATGCTCTCCTCTTATACACATGCAACCCAGCCCCTATCCCTACTCCAATATCCCTTTTCCTTCCACATTTTTCCCAGGTAGCATTTTCTCCTGGCAAATGAATTTGTCACTTTGCTAGCTGCTGGCTCTGCTCTGCTAGTCCCCAGTGAGCTGGCTTAATGCCAGCAGTCCAGTAAGAAACTGGTGTAAAGTTGCATCTTATGGTACATTTGGGATCAGTTAAATAATTTGATTATTACCACAGAAAGTTAACTCTGTGAAAGGGCTACTATTTGTTCTGCATTCCCACCGTCTCACCTGCAGCTGTAGCAGGTACAGCAAAATTGTGCAGTGCAAGTCTTATCATAGTGAGTTTATGTCTGATCTGCAAACAGAGCAAACTTGCTATTCTTCCACCTCCCCAGACTATGGCTGATCTTGATTTTGCAACGATTACATGCGTTTCCAGTCTGCTTCTTTAAAAGCTACTCTCTGTGCAGGCAAGTGCAAGTCCACCAAACACTGAAATGCAGTCAACAGTGGGGTAAAACATCCATTTGTTTACCTGTTTCAGGATTTTTAAAACTATTCTAGGTAATTTCCATGCAGGCCCCTTTCTGCAGACTAAGATGAAGTGACAGGTACCTACAGCACTGCTGTTACTGTAGTACAGTGGTCTCCAACCTTTTTAAGTAGGAGATCACCTTTGGCACTTAAAAGCTACCCAAGATCTACTGTGTGCCGCTGCTGCCACCCCCCCCACACCCAACAGGTAAGTCTGTGGGGTGGAAAGGGGGGCAAATCAGGGCAGAGGGATAAAAAATTATTTGGGGGTATGCCTCCCCACCAGGTAAGTCCCACATAGCCAGGGCACCACTCAACTTACCTCTTAAGATAAGAGGAGACAACTGGGAAGGAAGGAAGGAGGGGTGAAGTGCTGGGGCTTCAAAGGATCGAGACTGGGATCCTCAAAGGATGACTTCTGAAGGAAACCTGGGACCAAGCCCTTTGGTAGGGTGCGATTCTGATATAACCTTCCCATTATTTCCCTTTACTTCCAAAGGCAACCAGCTGTGAGGCTGGCCACATCAATCCCTTACTTGCCACTGATTACAAGAGCAAAAGCAGACCTTAACTTGCACAAGCTGGATGTGCCACCTAGTTTTGGAAGACTTTTGACCTTTCGTTACCTTTACCTATCAGTCATTATAGCAGCAGATACCTTATAATTCAACATTATTAACGCAATGGAATCAACTGCAGGAAATTCCAGTGGAAAACTGTTGCTATTTCTATGCAAGATATGCAATTCTCATTTTATACAAATGTTCATTAAAAACAGAAACTTGGCAAGTAACAGAGCTACATCATGCAGTGAATCATCCTGCCATTCCATCCACACAGTGCACCACAAGTCCCAACAATGCCTCAGGTAAGGTCGCCTCAGGCACCCAACGGGCAGGACACAGGAAGCCCTTTGTACTTACCCTTCACAAACCACATTTTGTCCCTCCCCGCTAATCAAGTGTGTCTGTTTATTGGGGACACCCTATCCATTCACACCCTATTTCTCTTGCTCACCTAAGGGTTTCTCTGTAGGGGATGGAACTGAGTGAGGTACCAATTTCTCTTATCAACATTTCAGTGATACATTTTTGTAGTCCTGATGGTTGCTACCTCAGAATGAATGTCTGAGCCAAAGAACAGTCCCCAGGCAATTGCTCACAAAGCCACAGGCTACCCCTTGTTGGGGTGGGAATGGCTGAAGATATCCAGAACAACCACCATGGAAGGAGGTCTAACATTGCTTTTCTTTCCACAGGAGAAAGGACTTAGGCCCCCACCATCTGAGCATTTGTGCCTGCCCAAAGATTCAGAGGCTCACTTAACCCCTGGACCCTAGAGTGGCTGTGGCCCCGTGCCTCCCTTCCTCAGACACTGGACCTAGTAGCTGGCTGCCTCACTCCCCCTGTAGCACTCCTTGCCAGACTCCCTGCCATAGGCCCTCTCTTCCTGAGCAGAGCAGTCTGGCCTCTCACTCCAGAGCCATTATAGAGGCAGCCCACCCCAGACTAAGAGGGCGCCTAGACTACCATGGTGGTGAGCATGAAACCAGGCAGCCTCCTGCCTCTGCAGTCATCCCTTTGCCAGTTACACTAATTTCTTTGCAACTATTTTTCTTTAAATTGAAATCTGGGATGCTGACCTTGTCACATGACTCTAAAAGCTAGAACTCTAGAAACAGGCCAAGATTTGAATTGGGCTCCTGCCTCCACCTTGCTCTCCTAGCCACCCACATCCAGCTCCCACTGGTACCACCCTCTGCTCCAGCCCCACAGGTTGACGTGGCATGGAAACCATTCCCAATGTCTTGCACTTTTCACAAGAGGTCAGAGAAATCCGTGAACATACCTGCTTGAAGAGCTTCTCCTCCCAGTACTGCTGCTCCCGTCTCCCTAAGGAACAAAAGACAAAAACGGTTGTTTAGCATATGACTGACTTGCATCCTGGAGCTTTCCCCACTAATACCCAGCATGGACAGAATCCAGTTTTGCCCATCCTGCAGGGAACCCCCTCCAACCAACCTTTCAGCCACCTTTTTTCGGGAAGGAAATGGGAGTTGGGTGAAAGAGGGAATAGATGCTGGAAATTACTGCTATTTCTGTTGTGCAATACCAGCAGGCACAGTCAAGGGCAGGTCCTCATTATGTTGGATGATGTAAGGTGCATTAAATTGTAAATTCCTAGGGTATGGGATGCCTTTGTTCTGTGACTGGACTCCTAGGAGTTATGGTAATACAAAAAACCAACTAGGGAGATGCAGCTAAAGGCCCCAATACTGCAAAGACAGGTACATGTCCTTTGTTTTCAAGTTTGGCAGGACTAACATTTGCCTAAATCTAAGTATGTGCATTAAGTCTTAGTAGATCAAGAGTGGGATAAAGGATCTTGGAACTGGTATCAAGCTGCATGTTATTTCATCCACGTGTCCCGTGTCCCATTCCCGTCCCCCCCACCCCAGCCCAGCCATCATGATGTGGGTGATTTCTTGTCAACAGTCAGAGCAGAAGTAGTTCCTGGGAAGTGATTCAGAGAAGAGAGCAACTTCATAAGGCCAGTTCAGGAAGGCTTTTCAAGTGCAAGGGCTGCCATAGATTAAACAGGAGAAGTCGTGGGTTTTTTTGGTGGAGGGGAGGTGCACAGCAACAGGAGCCATAGAGAAGTAGGGCTGGAAAAGACCCTGACAGGTCACCCAGTCCCTGCCTGAGACAGAGTCATCCCTACCCAAACCATCCCATAGGAATCCACTATCTAACCTCTTAACCAAAACTACAGTCAACCCTGATGCAACACAAGACATAATGCCCTAACTTGCCACAGGTAAAACAGAGGGACCATGGCAGCCAATGTCCTGCTGCTAGGAGGGTTGTTAAAACATGCTCAGGAGATCTCAGGAAGAGGGCCAGGCTCCCTGCTAAAAGAGCAAGGCAAAACCCCCCACAGCCCATGCCAATCTTACCACAGGGTAACATTCTTTCCTCACTTCAAATACATTTATCTATCTGACCCTGAGCAGAGGGGCAAGACCCTCCAGCCAGGAACCTCTGGGGTTAGGTCCCTGCAGGAGCACTGGCACACCTCAGTCAAAATCCCCAGCCTTGGCTGCAGCCAACACCCAATGCCTCTGAGGAAAGCTTAAAAATTAAACACAAACAACCAAACAAAAAACCCCTCTGACATGTATTAACAGGAGGGGGGAAAAATTCCCTCTCAGCTGGATGCCAAAGCTCGGAAGATTAGGAAATACCCATAGTAGAACAGGCATAGCTACACCGAGATGATCCCTGACAAATGCCTGTCCAACCTCTTCGACATCTCCAGTGATCAAGAGTGCACAACTTCTCTAGGCAGTCTATTCCACTGCCTTACTGTTGTAACAGCAAATAAGTTTTTCCTGATATCCAATCTAAATCTACTTTGCTGTAACTTCAGATCATTGTTCTGTGCCCTAATCCCTGCAGCAAGATAGAAAAGATGCTTTCCTTCTTCTTTATGGTAGCCCCTCAGGTAGTTTCATAGTTGTTAGGGGTCAGAAGGGACCTGAACAGATCATCTAGTCTAACCCCCCTGCCACTTGCTGGAGCACACGCTGGGATCACACGGCCCCAGACAGGTGTTCGTCCAACTTCTTTTTGAATCCACCCAAGGGGTGAGAACCACTTCCCTAGGAAGTTGGTTCCAGATCCTAGCCACCCTAACAGTGAACTAATGCCTCCTAATCTCTAACCTGAACCTATTCTCCAGCAGCTTCTGGCCATTGTTCCTCGTCACCCCAGGTGCTGCTGGGGCGAATAGGGCCCTTCCTATTTGCTGCTGATCTCCCCTAACGAGTTTGTAGGCAGCCACCAAATCCCCACTCAGCCTCCTCTTGCTGAGGCTGAACAGGTTCTGGTCCCTCAGCCTCTCCTCATAGGGCCTGCCCTGTTACCCTCCAACCAAGCGGGTGCCCTCCTCTGAACCCTCTCAAGGCAGGCCATATCCTTCTTAAAGTGAGGTGCCCAGAACTGGACACAGTACTCCACTTGTGGCCTGACCAATGCTGCGTTGAGGGGGAGTATCACCTCTCTGGACCGGCTTGAGATGCATCTTTGGATGCACAACAAGGTGCGGTTGGCTTTGCTGGCTGCGGTCTGGCATTGGCAGCTCATGGCCATCTTGGAGTCAATAATGACTCCAAGATCCCTTTCTGCCTCTGTGCTCACAAGGGGGGAGCTCCCCAGCCTGTATGTATGCTGTGGATTCCCTCTCCCCAGGTGCAGCACCCTGCATTTATCTACATTGAACCCCATCCTATTACCATCCTCCCACTTCTGTAGTCTGTCTAAATCTAACTGCAGCCTCTCTCTCCCTTCCAGCGTGCCTACCTCTCCCCACATCTTGGTGTCATCGGCAAACTTGGACAACATGTTTTCCACCCCCTTGTCCAAGTCGCTGATGAAGATGTTGAACAGCATAGGCCCCAGGACCGAGCCCTAGGGGACCCCACTATTCACATCCCGCCAGAACAAGTACGACCCGTCCACCACCACTCGCTGGGTGCGCCCCATCAGCCAATTTTTGACCCATCCAACTGTGTAGGCATCAGTGCCACAGTCGCTCAATTTGTTAATGAGAATGGGGTGAAAGACAGTATCAAAGGACTTCTTAAAGTCCAGAAAGACTACGTCCACGGCGACATCATCATCCAGGGATTTAGTTACCTGGTCATGAAAGGCCATCAAGGTTGGTCTGGCAGGACCTGCCTTTGATGAACCCATGTTGATTTCCCCTGGGCATGATCTCCACTGCTGGCCCCTCATAGATGTGCTCCTTGATAACTTTTTCAAGGATTTGAAAGAAGTCTTCAAATACCTTACTATTATACATGTGCATTATACATGTGCTAATAGAAAGGTATTTGAAGACTGCTTTCATACACCCTCTTAGGCACCTTTTCCACAAACCGAACACGCTTACTTACTTCAGCCTCTCCCCCATATGACTTGCCTTCCAAGCCCTTTATCATTTTTGTCACCCACATCTGGACCCTAACGTCTCCACATCCTTTTCTGAAATGTGAATCCCAAAACTGTATACAATACTCTACATAGGGGCATTAAACATACAGCCTGTGGGCTGGATCTGGCTTGTGGAGCTATATAATCTGGGCTGTGGGTCGCTGGATTGACGCCATGAGCTGCACCCAGCACTGTGTACCCTGGGTCATTTTGGGGTGCATTCTTCGTGCAGCACTCCACAACTGGTCCTGAGCGCTGGGTACAGGGCCAGTCCACATCAGGCCATGTTGGAGCCAATGTATAGCATCAGTTTGGTGGAGCACTGTATGCAGTGCATGCCTGGTGATGGCCCCTCGTGCTGTGTACACCGAATATGACCAGTCCAGCCCTGCATGCTGAGGGCAGCAAGCCCTGGTTCCAGGGCTTGCTGTGCCTACAGGACCAGCACAGGGCATGCATTACCCACAATGCACAAGCTGGACCTGGCACTATATATAGCACAGGGCCAAATGCAGCACCCCAAACCAATTCCCTTTGTCTCCTGCAGCACTGGGTCCACCCCACGCACTGTTGGCAGAGCACACTGCATGCCACCCCACGTTGTGTACATAGCAAGGCCCAGGGTCCGTACATGCTGTGTGGGGGTGCACAGGCTGGACCTGGGGCAGCAGGCTGCATAGGGGGTTCCAGTTCAGCCCAGCAACCTCCATCTGGTCTGCAAGCCTGGATGACTTTGACACCTCTGCTGTAGATGAGGTCTAAACAGTGCTGACTAGAGAGGCATTAACCTCCTCCATCTTCAATTTAATCCTTTTGTTGATGCATCCCAAAACCATGTTCACTGTTTCTGCGGCTGCATCACACTGCAGACTCATACTGAGTCTGAGACTCCCAGATCTTTCTCCATAGTGCTGCCATCCCTCCAGGTGTCCCCCACTTTGTATTTGTATTTCTTATTATTCTTTTTGAGGTATAGCACCTCTCAAAGGAAAGGTGCTTCCAGCTCCAGAGTGATCTGAAGTCAAACTCTAGAAGTTAACTTAGGCCCCTGGCATACATCACACTTAAGACATGATTATCCAGTTAATTGTATCTTAAGTAGCTACCCGGCCACACATTAAATGCAATTAATAGCACAATAAAACCAAGAATAAGCCATGAAGTCATTACACAAAATATGTGTAATAACCTTATGGCTGGTTCCCATCATGCCATTAACTGAACAAGTGCCCAGGCTGATTGGGACTCCCAGCCTCCAGGGTGCATGGAAGCCCTTGATTCCCATGTGTTCCCAATGGGAGTGCACCTATCAACTAACTGCTGCTCCCAGCCTCAGGGTCCCATCAGAGTCAAGGGCTCCAACTTGGGAGCAAAGATCAGCCGTTGCTCCCAGCCAAAGGGGTGCCTCAGAGCCCCTGACTCTGATATATCGCCGTGGCTAGAAGCATTGGCAGATCAAATTCCAGCCACAGAAGAGCACCGTGTGCGCCTGTGGCTGGGTGCCCAGGTCTGCTGATAGAGCTCCCAGCCATGGGGTGCATGGTGGACCCCTGCAGCTAAGAGCCTGGATCAGCTGAAGGAGCTCCCAGCCATGGGAGCATACTACTTGCTAGTGCTGGGGGAGCCCAGGATTAGGATATTGGGCTTCCCCTGCCCTGGCAATATGCTGCGATGTAATTTGATGTTCATTCCCACAACCACGCCTCCTGCCACGTATGTATGGCATGGCAGGAAACAAAATTGTGAGGATCCTACAACAGATCCCACAGCACCTCTATCTGCACGTATGCCAGGGGCCATAGACAGCATTTAATAAAGGAGCTTGGTTCTCTCCCCAACTCCAAAGCACCCTTGAATCATTTAAAATTACATTCCTCTCTCCTGTTAAGCCCCTCTCCTAGAACAGGACACAAGGGGCACAACAATGAGCCAAAGAGACATGCACGTCCTTCAAAAACACAAATCTAAGTAACCAGCTGAACAGCACACTGGGCTATGTCCTATTTTGAATGTGGACCTCCAATAAAACAACAACAGTAAACTTATTCCTGCCATCCCAAGACAAATCTCAGTAAGTTAAAACATTAGCTCCTTCAATGCATATACAAACATAGAGCGTAGTTTCTTGTTTTAGATCTGGGATGTGTAGGTAGTTTTCTCCAGTTAAACACAGCTTTGTTGAGAAGGAGCAACAAGGATGCCAGAGTCCCTCCCAGAGACCGCCTCACACCTCCAGACCCTTTCACCTTGTGATTTGAAATGGCTCCTGTGTTATTCCTATCCTGGGAATTGCAGTTGCCCTTCAGTCTGTGGCTGACTAGTGAAAGCATGAGGATGTAGTGAGCAAAAACTATGCACCACCATGACTTCTGCACTGGCAGGAGCACAGGCAGTGGTTTAATAATCTGATGGCTTTCTAAGGATGAGCAATCCTCCAAGTTAGAGGGTAATAGCAGTAGTTAGACAACGATGTTCTGTAAGTACATTTTATCTGAGTAGGTTGAAAATTGGATCCCAGCAACAGGTTTGAAGGCGGTTAAAATGGCGACAGGATGGTACAATCCAGCCTTCTGAAAACAATGTTCCTATAGTGATCACCTGGGGTAATGTATATATTTACAAAACTGGGTAGTATGCAAGCGCTCCAAAAAGATGCAGCCTGAAACTATTGTTATCCCTATTCCACAGATGGGAACCAAAGCATTAAAATATTAAGGGCACCTATACACGCGCATCAAGGCTGCTCTGACGTGCTGTAATTACAGCGTGTCATAGCAGACTTGATTAATCGAGTCTGCTGGAGCGTGGTAATTATCGCGTTCCAGCAGACTCCAGGGTCACGTGCATCAGTGTTCCTGCACTGAACAATGGCAGTGGGGATGCTTTAACCACGGCTTGTTCGATGAGCTTTAGTTAAAAGTGGCCCCACCGCCATTTTTCAGCACAGGGACATACATACACACGACACTCCGGGTGCTTTAATTAGTGGCTCTTGGAGCCACTCTACTTAAAGTGTGTTCCCCCCCGCCCCCAACATCTATCAATTCCCTAAGTAATTTGTTCAAGGGCATTTAGGATGTCAGAAACATCACAACCTAATCCCAGATCTCCTCCATCCCAATCTGCACAGCTATCCTCTTTAAAGAGCAAATATGAGCCCCATTAACATCTGTGGAAGCTGAGAACAAAAGGTTAAGTAATCTGACCAAAGCCAAACAGCTAATCACAGGGACAGGGCTCGATCAGAAGTTCAGGCACCTCCCTCCTCCCCTTCCTGCAGCCCCCAGCCCTGTGCTCAAGCCCACCCAAGCCCCCTCCCTCCCAGACAAAATGGTCCCTCAGTGCTAGTCCAAATGCTGAATTCATCCTGATTTACCACCCCCCCCCAAACAAATCTATCTCGCTCTAATTGCAAAGGTCAAGCTCTCTCCCTTTACTTATTTGTGAATTGTCTAATTCAACACCTATGTTCATTGTTACAACTGCACTATCAGGCAGTTGTTACCTCCTTTTTTCTGCTTAAAATTGCTAGGCACATTGTCTTTTTTCCCTATTCTCTGATTAGAGGTTTTCTTGGAAAGACAATATTATTCCAAACCCAGAAATTTTATTTCTGAATTTGTGCAAATATAAGTTAAAAGACATTAGCTGCATTTCACATTTTGTGCAAATGGCAGAAACAGGCAATTCATGTGCAGCAGGATGGGGGCTAGCCAACGATTTCGATAAAATAAACCCTTTTTTAATTTAAATGCTAATGCACTGAATTAAAATTTAATAACTGAGGAAATTGAAAAGCCGAGCAGGAATATTGGAAATAAATCCAAGCAGAAACAGCTGAAATTAAAAATTCTAGAGAGTGGGAGGATAGCAGCTAAGCTGTCTTATATGATTACATTTTTTTTTTTTTCAGAACGAAGCGGAAAAAAAAAAATCCTATCTCTGGCCGGCTGTAGGGCAGTAAATCGAGAGTGCTGTGATTTATTGCTCAATTTTCCTGAGGGAAAAAGGCTTTCTTTCATGCTGAAATATTTCATAAATTTCAAGACAGCATAAATTCTTAATTTAAAAGTTATGGAGGTCACATTTAGTGCACTGGTGCAATTCTACAATCTTAAAGGAATAGCAACCAAAAAAATTGCAATTTTATTTATTTTTTTATTCCTTAATGTGAAATTTTGTTAGTGGAAGATTTCTCTAAGCCATAAAAAGCAGCAGCCCTCTTCGCGTTCTGATGGTTTGAGCAGTCTGCTACAAGTGAAGAGATAAAGATTTAATTTAATTATAAAAAGGCATTTTTTTATTATTATTTTAGCCACTTGAGGAATTTCTGGTAAAAAATTTCCTCCCTTCATTGCCTGGGAAAAGCCAGAAGGGAGGAGCTGACAATGTAATTGCTTCTGTTAGATCTCCAATCTTTTGTGAGCACTGATATGTTCATTTGTTATACAGCTGTTCAGCTACAGAAAGGATGTCAGAGCACCCATAATTCAAAGCAATCAATCAAAAATTAATGATTTGTCATGCTTACACAATGGAAAAAAAGGCTTTATGGGTTCCTGTAACTGGTAGATTGCTCAAACCTTCAGGGCATTTTCTAGAAGATTAGATCTGTTTACAAAAAGGAGTCTTAATATTGTGCGCCGGGCAGGGAACTGTGCAAGGTGCTAGGGCATCTCTGCCATCTAAAGTACCTGATAGGTTAAGTTACACTTTTCCATTAGGTTAGAGGGTTTAATATAAAACATGACCAAACAAGTGACTCTAATCTCTTGTCCTGGATCAAAGGGAGGAGTCAAAGGACCTTTTAATTATAATTCCACACTAAAATATTTACAACATGGAAATTTTGCATGAACAAGCATTTGTCAAGTCAAAAAATATAAAAGTTATGGTAAAAATGAACAACCTTAACTCTGCCCCTTTGGGCATATGCATTGCCTGGTCACACCGCTGTAATTTCAAGATCATACATTACTTCTTAAAAATCAAAGGTCCCTAAATACTG